CATTGTTTGGTTTGAAGATATTTCTACAAGCTAACACAAATGTTGTTTGGGATAACAAATTATAATGTCGTAACATATTTCATAATATGTTTGATGGTATTTTTAAGGGCTTTGAATTATTATTAAGACAGGAACGAATATTTGGGGAACGTCACTTGTTTTCTGAAAACTGTTCAAAACATTTGAGACTGCTACATGGCCCTAACATTTTAGCATTATGAAGAGATTTTATTGTTGTAGAGGGACTTATTATCTGAGCTTTCTAGATTGAACACAATTTTACTAGACACGGGCAACAGACTGGTGGCTAGAATCAGACTCTTGCTTTCATTCTTCACTTAGCCTATTCATGACTTGATATGGTTTTAAAACTAGGTTTATGAAATGATTGTCTAGTAGGCCTGTACACACTGTACACAATGTACACCCTGTACACTGTACACTGTGTGCCCTGTACACCAGGTTGTAAAGATAAACCAGTGCTTTGCTTTGATGCTGTGAGGATGGTTGTGTTTTGGTCACAAGATGTGTGATGTGTTGCAGGTAAGTGGAGCTTGAGGGGTTAGCTGCATGATCAAATTGTGATGTCAGCATACATAAACGTACTAATATATACAGGCTGTTCACCTGCGTTAACTGAAGCATCTTGTGATGAAGTTAACAGTGAAGTGTTGATCAAACATTCAAATGTTTGACAGTCCGTGTGTTTAATTTGTTGTTGAATGTGTTTGACAGAATGATGTGGGATGTGTCAGTGTTTGACTGGATGATGTTGAAAGTTTAAGTCATGTTGAATATTTCAGCGTTTGACTGAATGATGTTGAATATTTCAGCGTTTGACTGAGTCATGTTGAATATTTCAGCATTTGACTGAGTCATGTTGAATATTTGAGTGTTTGACTGAATGATGTTGAATATTTCAGCGTTTGAATGATGTTGAATATTTCAGTGTTTGACTGAATGATGTTGAATATTTCAGCGTTTGAATGATGTTGAATATTTCAGCATTTGACTGAATGATGTTGAATATTTCAGTGTTTGATTGAATCATGTTGTGTGTTTCAGTGTTTGATTGTTTGAGGTGGAATGACAGCATCTGTTATGTAGCATTCTTAGTGGTCATTATTTGAGCATGTATCTTGCGTTTGAGTGTGTGGCACACATTTGAACAATTTACCTGTTTTCAGCGTAGGAACAGCATTTGAGCATATGATCAGTGTTCAAGTGTTTGACCATAAATAGAGTGTCTGACCATTATTTGAGAGTTTGACACAGATAGAGTATGTGACCATATTTTTAGCGTTTGACACTGATAGTGTGGATGATCAATGGATTGTCTGATCCAGACTCGATTATTTACAGACCGCAGCCATATAGCTAGAATATTGCTGAATGCGGCGTAAAACTAAACTCACTCACTCACTCAATCACAGATAGAGTGTATGACCATTATTTGAGAGTTTGACACCGATAGAGTATGTGGCCATATTTTTAGTGTTTGACACAGATAGAGTATGTGACGATATTTTTAGCGTTTGACACAGAGCGTATGACCATTATTTGAGAGTTTGACACAGATAGAGTATGTGGCCATATTTGTAGCATTTGACACAGATAGAGTATGTGACTGTGTTTTTAGTGTTTGACCACTGTTCAAGTGTTTGACTGCCGATTGACTATATGAGTGTTTGACAAGTGTTTGAGTGTTTGACCAGTATTGATCCCTTGGTTGACTGTATGTGTGTTGGATATATTTGGACATTTGTTCGTGGAGCGTACGACTTAAATGTTTAAGCATTAAATGCATGAAAATAATTTGACATGATAAACATTGACATTTTCAATACACGTAAAGCCATGTCCATATGCTGCATTTTGCGATTTTTATATCATGTAAATATAGATGCATTTTGGTGAAACATTCGTTGAGACAGTGACTGATATGTAGTCTTCCTAACATGGTAGCTGGAACGTATACTGTAACACAACAACGTAAAACTGCATCGTGATTATCATAATATAAATATAATTATTCTCAATTTAAGAAAAGACCTAACACTGAATCAACACTGCTTGGGCCAGACCTTAAGTTATTGATTATGGATATTTTTACAAAACAATATTATACAGTGAAATATATGAAGAATTTCATGTTTCATTTTGTTCTTCATAAAGTTTGGATATACAGTCAAATCCCGATGAGTCGAATCTCTGGGGACCAAGTAATAAACTCGACTTATCGATGTATTCGAGACATAGGTATGTCTATGAGGGTAGAAATAAAGATGATCCAGTCCTAATTCCTCCGCCTAAGCATTTGTTTATCTAATGATTTCCCTATCACTAATAGTGGCACCTTATCAGTTCCAGTCTGATTAGCACAGACAGTGATTTCCGTAAAATCACTAATCTGCCTTTTGAACTCGCCCGTCAAAGGTGGAAAGGTGTGAGCCGAGCTGGTTTGTTAATTGGATCAGTTTGCTACACCAATCAACTTCTCATTGACTGACTTCGGCTTATGTACACAAGATTGCTGTTGTTTGAATCTCATGGGACCAAATTTTCTTCTTGAGTCATCGTGTGTATTTATGAGTTGAATTCCTGTAACCGGAAATCAAATGATGACAACTATAACAGGGAATGGTCGGGACCGACAAGTACTTCGAGTTATGCATAATATTCGAGACACCGGCATTCGACTCATCGGGATTTGACTGTAATAGCATCTATGTGTTACGCTTCAATGTATTGTATGTACATATTGGTTCATGCCGAAGATGCGTTATTAATATGTATAAATGCATTTCAGATTTCTCACATTTAACCTTTTCATTATAATCATAGGTCTGGCTGAGTGGCTTATTTCATATTCCTATCTATGCAAGAAATAGGAATAATTCTAAAAGAAGGAAAATAAGTTACAACTCAGTAAACTAACAAAGTGAACCCCAAGGACAATTCATATGATTTTGTCGAAGTCATTTATGTCAACTAAACACAATATAAGTTGTTTTAAAATGACTTCAAAGTTATGGCAGTAAGTTATTCCTTTGTTCAAAATGTCTCAAATGATAGATGTGTTGTTTTAGTAGAATGAAGGATTATATAAATGTCCATGGTTATGAAAATGACTGTAACAAACACTGTCATGATTCACCCTTGAACTCGGGGTGGAAAGTTTGTAGTCTTCTTGAAATGTAAATAATAAAGTCTTCTGAATGTACTGACAATTTACCTCAACAATTTGATTTGGTCATGACAAGAACATTGATCTTTAAATAGGATCAACATTCTTAGCGATGAAACTATGGTGCTATGAAAATGTAAAAGTTGAAATGATGACAATATTTACAATTGGATTATTTTTCTGATTGTATTACATTGTGATCATTTAGTCATTTATATTTAATTATTTTTTGCGTGTATTTTTTTCAATTTTTAACATTTTTATTATATATTTAATTAACAGAATGAATTAATAGACATGTAGTTTTGATGCAGACACAGGAACGGATCATGCATTGAGATCCAGAATGCATGGGAAGAGAATCTTGTTACATTTCGTCGTTGATGTTATTTAGTCATGCTTTGTCAGTGCTTAGTTGAATTGACGAAGCATGAAGAGTTTAAGTTTGACAACATTAGTTATCTAGTGTTGCAATTACAGTTTGTATATTCATCTGACATGTTTTGTAATATTTCCGCATGTGTAGAAAGTAGACTATTTATGCATGGTTAGTTTTGTTTCAGAGTCTGTGTATGCATGATGAAAATAGTGTAAATCTTTTCATAAAATTGTAAAGAAAGCAGATGCAGGCTTTCCTCGATGTAAACTATAATTTTTGTAATTTGATGTAAATATCTTCCCAGAACAGATAAGAAGTAACTGTTTGATGTTTTGCCTCACAATGTGAATAAATGTGTGATTTTACTCAGCTTTTTTCTGAAAATATATTTTTGAATTTAATTTTAAAATCTCAAATGACTTAAATTTGTTCTTCAATGCATGTAGTTTCTCTTCAGTGTTTCCAAGTTTTTGTATTTCATCTTTTTCATCTACAAGCAGTTACATGTGTATTCTTGATTCAAGATGTTCAGTGTTTTGGGTCATTATTTTATAGAATGTTTTACAAAATGATCATACAAACATATACAGAATTATTTACATCAAACAACAGGGGGAAAATAGTTCTTTTAGAAAATTACAGAAAGTTGTTGAAAACCAAGATTAAATTCCACTACTCAGATCTGTTTCTTGATTCACAACCAGCTATCTGTAAGGTTTGACAAATGGAAATCTATATTATCCCGATGGAATTTTCACTTGAATTTTTTCCTTTTTTATTCATTTCATGGTTTTTAATTAGCATTACCCACATATCAACCGAGACAACATTTTCAATTTGTTTTTCCCCGTCTGACTTTTGCCGTATCAGCCAAGTACACGTGTACAAAAAACACGATCAGCCTGACCTAGTGAGGAGGGGCGGTGGGGTAGTCTATTGGTTAAAGCGTTCTCTCCTCACGCCGAAGACCCGGGTTGATTCCCCACATGGGTACAATGTGTGAAGCCCATTTCTGGTGTCCCCTGCCGTAATATTGCTGGAATATTGCTTAAAGCGGCGTACAACTAAACTCACTCACACACTTAGAGAGAACCTGCAGTACCAGGATATTTTTCAATGATACAGATATTCAGTCAGTATTCAGAAGGACATGAACTCACATGTTCTCCATTTTGATGACAAGATTTTAGCTTACGCTTAAAAATTCAATTCAGTTTTCTCGCATGACTAATGAACGCAATTAATGACCAAAGTCATGCTTTGAATATAACATTTCTATCTTCCTCTTGCAAGACTTTGCACCTGTGAGACTCTCTCTCGCTCTTTCTCTCTTGTTTTCATTTTGTTTTATTTGCAAATTGTGTTGTCCACGCTTATTTTGTTGTGTTTTTCCTTTGCACCTCTGGTTGTTGTCCTCGTCGTCATGGTGATCAGACGTTCTTAGTTCCCCCCACGTTCTCATTCCGGACCATGAGAAGATCTTCGATGAGACAGACTTCCAGGAAAAGTAGGTAGCTCTCACTGGCTGTGTGTTCGAAAAGTGTTTTGTTACTCGACATACCTTTTTGGTTCTTCTGAATTAAACTGAATTGATGTAAACATGATGTAAACATGTCCCTAGTATCACCTGCTTGGCATGAGTTTGGTTTAGTTGTTTAACGCCGCACACAACAATATTCCAGCTATATGGCGGCAGTCTGTAAATAATTGAGTCTGGACGAGACAATCAAGTGATCCAACAGCATGAGCGTCGATCTACATAATTGGGATACGATGACATGTGTCAACCAAGTCAGCGAGCCTGACCACCCGATCCTGTTAGTCATCTCTTACGACAAGCATGGGTTGCTGAAGATCAGTTCTAACCATGATCTTCACGGTTCGCTTGGCGTGTGAGTTTCGGGTGAGAATATATCCCAAGCACATCTGCTGGTCATTAGATTCAAATACTGTGGATCAGAGGATAAAAATCTGTGACCTAGCTGGTTGTGTCCTCTTTGTTATTTGTTGTTCATGTCGTCGACCACTGTTTGCAAGACCAAGAGTCCAATTTTAGTGACTGATGCTACTTGGCTCAAATAGTGCTTACTGCGATGTGAACAGACATTGCTTGTTTTCCAGGCTTCGACTTTTCATCAAAGGCGTGGATTGGTGAAAGTCATTAATTTGATCACAAAAGTAATATAAATATTTGCGAACCTCCCCATATCCTTGTCCATCTCATTACAAACACCCTCTAACGTTTGCCTTCAGTCCTCCCTCAGAACATTTACTGATGTTATTTTGATGAACTCACAAAATATACAGAAGTATAAATATTTTAAAAAATTAAATTTGCAGTGTCGCCAATCGTAAGTCTGTGTTAAGGTATGGGAGTTACAACCATCTTAGCGCTAAGCCTGTCGTAAGTCTATGTTAAGGTATGAGAGTTACGATCATCTTAGCGCTGCACCTATTGTAAGTCTATGTTAAGGTATGGGAGTTACGATCATCTTAGCGCTACGCCAGTCGTAAGTCTATGTTAAGGTATGAGAGTTACGATCATCTTAGCGCTGCACCTATTGTAAGTCTATGTTAAGGTATGGGAGTTACGACCATCTTATCGCTAGGCCTGTCGTAAGTCTATGTTAAGGTATGGGAGTTATGACCATCTTAGCGCTAAGATCGCTTTGCACAGCAGCAACCAGGTGAACATTTCATACTTACCACTCATTATATTTTTCCATGTGGTAGTCAATGAAATTCCTCCTGAAATGTAATAATTAGTTTGCCTCTGACTGTGATGTGTGTTTGTGTTACAGGACTCTGGTAGACACTGTTTACTCTCTCAAGGACAAGGTCAAGGAGTTGGAGCAGGTAAATGCTAGTAACCCAACGACTGCTTATCATTGTGTCGCTACTAGTTGCTTGGGACCTGATTACCAATGCATAGATACTAGTTACACAGAAACTGTCTACCAGTGTGGAACGTAGTTACCAGGAACATTGCTTATCAATACTAGTTTCCTGACAACTGCTTACCATTGTGTTGATACTATGTAACTTGGAAACTGCTGTCCGAAGTTTTGATACTAGTTAAACAGAAACTGTACCAATATGTAGCATAATTTCAAGGAAAATACTTTCCCTAAAACTGTTTAGCATTGATATGTTCTAGTTACATGACATCTGCTTGCCATTTTAATGATCCAAAATTGTCAAAAAACATAGTCTGATGATCGTAATGAATATTTCCAAGTGTAAAACAACTAATCAACAAACCAACATTTGACCCTGTGCTGCTTGAATTTTTAGGAGCAGAAGAAGTTGAAGAAAGACATGGAGGATGAACGCAAGGCACGGAGACGACTGGAGAACGTTGTCCACAAATCCATGGGGAGCAGACTCTTAGATTCAGTGAACACGGAGAGCGTGTCTTGACCTCAGTCCATCCTTAAGCTCAATATCAGTGGTCAGTCTCATGTACCCAGTTGGAGATGATTGAACTCAGTCTCAGCATCTCGAACTATGTCTGAACAGTGTCCTAGGGAACCTTCTGTCTGAACCTCTATTGTGTTCTTCCTATCCTATAGGAGCACAACCTGTGTCTGTCTGAACCTCTAAACCTCTTCTGTATCCTATAGGAGCACAAGCTGTGTCTGTCTGAACCTCTAAACCTCTTCTGTATCCTATAGGAGCACAAACTGTGCCTGTCTGAACCTCTACTTTATCTGTCTGAACATCTACTGTGTCCTATATGAACACAAACTGTCTGTCTGAACCTCTACATTGTCCTTGTTGTTGTGTTTGAACATGTTTGTGTTCCGTGTTAGGTCATCAGAAGTTGTATTTTGAGATTCCTGTTTCGAGAGATGTGTATCTTGCAGTTGGTTGAATTTGGAAGTCTGAATTGATTTCCAGGAATGCAATGTCCTTCAAAGTCAGTTTACTGATACATGCAAGTCATGTGAGAGTAGATCTCCATCCCGTTCAAGATGTTCAATGTCAGTGGAAGGTTGGCGATAGAAAACTTGTGAAAATTATTCAGAATCAGAACTTTCACACCAGAAATCTTAGGCGAGGAAAAGGTTAATTATATCTTTATTGTGAATAAATGTTTATAAAAACATAAAACAAATAACATTGTAATTACCACAAGGATAATGCTCACCTCATATTATTTAAACACTTGATTATAGAGAGTTCTTGATGTCCAGCTGAGATTTCAGTTAACATGGCTTAGGACTTGTGGCCAGTTACTGTTCCATTGTAAATGTGAAACTGTTGAATTATAGCTGAGATTTTAGTGATGAATATTTATGAGAAATATGATTGAGGTTGGTTGATCATTGATGCCAAAGAAACTACAAGCCCAAAGTTGTCCTCTGGTGTCATCTGTAGTAGAACATAGACTTAATATGATTAATATACACAGCTGAGCTTACTAGTAAGATATATATTGAATAGTACTTATATACCACTCATTTTTAGTTTGGGATAATCAGATGTGTCATTCTTTTATAGAATAGTACTTAGTTTCAGGAATATACCACTCATTTTAGTTTGGGATAATCAGATGTGTCATTCTTTTTAATATATACCTTGAATATGAAAATCGGTTTGGTGTAAAATAGATTGAGATCCCTATCAAAGCCCCACATGGGCACAATGTGTTAAGCCCATTTCTGGTGTCCCCCGCCGTGATATTGCTGGAATATTGCTAAAAGCGGCGTAAAACTAAACTCAGTCAGTTCCTATCAAAGGTGGAGTAGGATATGACATATGTCATTTGGTGGTACGAAATTAACAAAGAATGTAGCTTGAATGAAATTTGGTAGGTTCTGCCAGAAGAAGAGGGATCGTCAGGTGATGATCATCTTTGTAGCTTATCATTGTTGCAATATTCCTGTTATAAGTTATACCTTTTCATCAGAACACCTATAGGTCATATTTGTTGGGAATTGCAAACAAGTTGTTTGTTATGCCTTGTTAGAAATTAGTTTTCCAAAGATGTCATTTTCACTGTTTTCTTACAGATTGTGACAATGTTCTTGGCTCCTTTCCACAAAGAGATTGTAGCGTTACGGCTGACATGTCAGATTTGTCATCTTAGCGCTTTGACTTATGTAACACAGTGTTAAGGTGTAGGAGTCAGAGACCCTTTGACAGTGTTAAAGTATGGGAATTTGATCATGTTAGAGCTTTGACTTACATAAGACAGTGTTAAGGTGTAGGAGTCAGAGACCCTTTGACAGTGTTAAAGTATGGGAATTTGATCATGTTAGAGCTTTGACTTACATAAGATAGTGTTAAGGTGTAACACCTTGAGTGTCAATAAATCAGTGTTAAAGTACAGGAATTACGATCATGTTAATATTATGACTGGTTTATGTTTAAATATAGAAATTATGCTTTGCGAGTGTCTTAAGACTGGAAAAAGTACTGGGCCTAGATTTTCGAAACTCTCTTAGAGCTAAGACAGTCGTAAGTTAATGCTAATGTATGGCACTTATGACTATCTTAGCGCTAAGAGAGCTTCGAAAATCTAGGCCCTGGAATTTAGATCATATTAGAACTGTGATTGTCTTTAGTCATTGTCAAAGTACTGGGATTAGATCATCTTAGCGCTGTGACTGTCCCATGTCATTGTCAAGCTATAGGAGTTAAGATTTCCTTGGCACTGTGACTGACCTAAGACAAAGTCGAAATATGGGATGTTGATCATGTTACCGCTAAGACTTCGGTATATAAAGGTGTAGAAGTCTTGATTATCGCTGCTGATCACTTTGTGGAAAGGGGTTGTGTTTTTCGTTCATACAAATCTCATGAAACCTATGTCGATCTCTCAGTTAACTTGGGGAACAGATTGTTTCTGCTCATGTTGTTTACTTGCTGAAATTGTAAATATTTTGCCCAACACATGATTTGTTTGTTGAGTTTTATGTTGCAACAGAACCATTCTGTAAAACCTGTTTACTTCTGTTTCAATGTATTTACGGAATTAAGAATGCTCTGTGTTGTGTGTACATGAGGAGGTCCTGGCTCTGGTTTGCCATGTTCGAACAGACGGAACTGTACTGAACATGATCTCAGGATAACAGTGTTGCCATACAGGAAACCAACATCGTAGGATATGGATTGGACTGGGAAATTAATGACTGTTAGTTCTTCTCTGCTGGGCAGTATTTCCAATGCCTTTTAAGTGGCGGTGGGGTAGCCTCGTGGTTAATGCTTTGCTCATAACGCCGAAGGTCTGTGCTGTTGCACATGTGAAGGAATATAAATGGTATATTCATATATTTTGTGATAGCTTTAAAATCAAAATGGTAGAAGATTTCAAATGAAAATAAATTTTAAAATCTGAAGAAATTTACATGAGTCTTGTTAAAAGTTCTGGTTTTTCAGTTGTCTGCAAATAGGATTATAAACCACAAACTATAGGCAGAATCAAGATCTGACAACAACTTTTAAGTTGATCTCTACGAAAGCATGGAATTATGTTACTATTGTAGTTTATATGCCCTTGGCCTTTACAGGTGTCTATTGTGTTGTTTGGGCAACAGGTCCTTTTCTGACCTTGACCTTCATAAACGTGGATTACAAGAGAAATAATGGCAGAAACTTTTAGTCCAAACAAAACTGTTTCATATATTTCACTCACTCTCTCAGATGCTTTCAGATTTACTTGTCCTGTCAACCAAATCTAGTAAAATATATTTAAATATACTATCCCATTTTCAAGGGCGATAATGAGAGTTGTCATTGTATTTGAGTACATACCTAATGTATTTTGAGAATCATTTGGTTTTGTAGCATGGAAAACATAAAAAGTATCCTTATGATAAGTGTATGATTAACTGTGGAAAACAAAAACATATTTTCAGGTCAGCACTGGACATATGCGGTCAAGTATCCACATTTCACTTCCAGAACATTTTTTTCACATCTACATTACTGAATCTCAAACCAAATGCTCAAATCATCAATTGTTTATTTCATTGCTGAAAACAAATTAACTGATTGATAATCAAAATTAAAAATTCAGATTTAGAAAGGTTTGCTGGGCTTCTTGTTGCTTATATATTCTTAGAGATTTTATGAAATTAATAAATTTTCTATAGTTGTAGAATTAGTAATGACATGCTTTAATTTTACACCCATCATTATTCCTACTGTTTGTCTCTGTGATAGGTTATATATATCGGAGCAGTGCTCTGCATTAATTCAGAATTGTGATTCTATAGATTCTGTTCAAATTATTAATAATTGTAGAGCAAATGTGATTGCATTTTCATATCACAATTAAGAAAGTGCTGACTATCTTGTTGCTGATAACCATGTTTGAATGGTTCTTGTTTATATACATTTATAATGAAAAAACAAATAAAGCATTAAAACCTAGGTCTGGCTTTGTTGTTCAATTTCCGCTTGTTTATTGTTTAATGCTGCACTGAGCAATATTCCAGCTACATGGTGGTGGAAGATAATCCAGTGGTCAACAGCATGAGCATCAATCTACGCAGTTGGTATACAATGACATGATGTGTCAACCAAGTCAGCGAGCCTGACCACCCGATCCCGTCAGTCACCTCTTACGACAGGTATGGGTTGCTGAAGATCAATTCTAACCCAGAACCCAGATCTTGACGATCCACCACCCAGTTCCATGTATGAGTTTTGAAGAAGAGAAGATATCCCGTGAGAAGATATCCCAAGCACACCCAAGCCCGACCACCCAATTCCATGTATGGGTTGAAGAAGACCAATTCTAACCTGGATCTAACACTGGTGTTTGTTGTTCACGTATTTGGTTGTTTACTTGTTAAACCCTGGAGAGACTGGGTACATGATACATACCTGACAAGCTGTAATGTTCTGACTACATGACACGGTATATTAAGTCTTGTGTCTGTTCTTGGCATGTTTTCTTGACCCGAAAATGTCAAGTCAATCACTGGTTTCTGTGGTCAAGAGTGAGTGAGTATGGTTTTACCGTTAATGATCGAGTGAGTGTGAGAGGGAGTCTTGCACAGCCTCCTGCTCAGCTTGTCATGTTTCGGTCATAATCACCCCAAATACTATATGGCCTGGCTTGTCTGTCTGCCAAATGTTGGACCCCTTTTCCAAATCCGCATCATGTTGGAAAGTGTGCGTAAATCTCTAAATCATCATCACCTCCAAGAGATGATCTGCAGTGATCCATCAATTTTACTAAATCAAATTCTAGTTTTCTTATTGCTTTTAAAGTTTTCTGGACTTTGCGTAACCTTAAGCATGATGTAACCAAAAGTCATTTCAAAGCAGCGATAAACTGGACTCCTCCACTTCTTCAAATCAATACAAATGTCGATCCATCTGTCAGTGTTTGGTAGAAGCACCATCCATCATGGACAAAAATCACAAAACACTCACAGACTTCCTTTTGTACATTTTATTTCAGCACAAGTGAAATAAAACTTGCTTTTTGTGAAATAAATTACTTGAAATGATCAATAATGGTGGTATATCCAGGTACCTGCAGTCTCTGCTAGCTGCTGGTGGACGTCGGCAACACCGCCATCACCGTGGAACACCATTCAGAACCTGACCGAAACTTGCATGACCAACTTCACATCTTCTATACTATACTGTATATCTCCTGTTTTCTATGAAATATTAAAAATAATAAAATAAAATTTACAGATGCACATCTTAGTCCTGATTTTCTTTCTAAATGCCACATGTCTCTTTCTGCATTAGAGACTACAGCTCTGTGAATGTACAATTTGTCTTGCCAAATTGTAGGGTAACCAACACTGATTGCTACATTCTTTACAATGACTACACATCACTGCATTAGGTCAAGTTCTGAATGGTTGGTCAGGCGACAGCAACAACTGCAGCAGCAGCAGCAGCATTAAAA